GTGCCTGTTGACTTCACACGACTAATTGTAATTCGCAAGTAAATCTTAACACACAGATACATAGACCAGGAGTTCATCCAAATGTTCAGATATGAGGCAACCTGAAGCATTTCCACCAAGTGGTGTGAAATGGCCCACATGTGGGCTGGGGCACTATGGTTTTAAAAAAAAAAATAGCTTGCACTGTTAATTCAATATAAAAATATATTTTTAACAAATATATAGACATTTTTAAAAATATAAACTCTCCATATGTGTTCCTTTATTTTTGATTTCAAATCTGTTTCTTTTTCCTGCAGCTTTAGGCTGAAATGTGGGATTTTTTTTTTCTTCTTTTGCAACACTGACACTGTGTGCTGCGCTGCTCTTTATCTTATGTCTTGTCTACAATAAGGTTGAATCATCTCTTTTTTTCCAACACTGCTGGATTTCCTTTAATGGACTTGATGTACTCTGTAAAGAGCAGATTTGAGAAAAAGGGTGTAGCTGCCTCCAACCAGGAAGATGTTCTGAGGCCAGCTCAACCACAAGCCATTAGCTGTGTGCCTGCTGTTAGACAAAATGGTTAGAGACCTGAAGACAGCTGAAATTAGATCCCTTCCAAGGTCTTTCAGTTCTTGTGAGGGGATTTAGAAGCCAGTGTTTTGCTGTGACATATAAATAATTGTGTGTTCTTGTCCATATAATTATTCTGCCTGCACATATTTTTGTTCTCCTCTAAAGGTTCCACGAATACTGCTAGAAAAACAGTTTTCAGACTTCACACCGGACATCACTCCTATCGTCCTTGCAGCTCACACCAACAACTATGAGATCATCAAACTGCTTGTGCAGAGAGGGGTCTCCATACCACAGCCGCACGCTGTACGCTGCAACTGCGTGGACTGCACGTGTGGTTCGGACGTGGACAGCCTGCGTCAGTCACGCTCCCGTTTGAACATCTACAGGGCTCTGGCCAGCCCTTCGCTCATCGCCCTCTCCAGCGAGGACCCCTTCCTCACAGCCTTCCAGCTCAGCTGGGAGCTGAAGGAGCTCAGCACACTGGAGAATGAGTTCAAGAAGGAGTACGAGGAGCTGTCACAAATTTGTAAACAGTTTGCCAAGGACCTCTTGGACCAGACTCGAAGCTCTAAAGAATTGGAGATAATACTCAACTATCGAGATGACATCAACCCGCTGCTGGACGAGAACAACAACGATTTGGCTCGACTGAAGCTGGCCATCAAATATTGCCAGAAAGAGGTAGGATAAAGAGCAGAAACTGAAACAAAAACATTTTGTGTCCTTCACTCAAAGGAAAAACTGCACAATAACTCTGAGATACTCTGTCCTGGTTATCTCTAAGTACCAACCACATAAATGTCCCTCTTACATTTTTTTAAACACCATTACCATGATAACAAGAAGATTGCCAAGGATGAGCTGTAAATGGGCTTGTCCCTTGGGAGCGTAAATCAACATGTAATTGTCAGTCTGGCTCTTAGAATGCATTACAGTAGCACTTTGAGACAGTCCCATGATGATGGGATAATTGGGATAATGATGGAATAAGTGATTACCATTTCCCTGAAATGTAAACTCATAACATTTTAAAAGGAAAAGGAAACATTTGTTG